AAGAAACAGGTATAACATTGTTACATGATTTATATATTGCCAACCCAACCGTTAGGTTTATATTCCTAACACCCTCCCTTTTAGATTTGTACATTCATCTTTAATAAATCCAAAGGTCTCTTTGTAAACAAAATTGCATTGTATTTATCAATTTAGTAGAATACTAATTCAGATTTAAAAATAATTTTTGAGATTTGGTTTAATGATTCTACTGTTTATTTCAACCCCTGGTAGAACTGGAGCAGGGCATTCTCCGAAGAGCAGCAATAGAAGTGGACACACAGTCCAAAAAGAAATGTTGTAATTGACCTTTTAGACAATTTGATAGGAGCATTTTTTGCTTCTTTGGCCTTGAGGGGAAAAAAGAGAAAGGCAAACGAACAAGTGCTTTGTTGTCTTATTTATATCTCCTCGAGCTGCTGGCGAAAAGCCCAGGGAATTTTTAGAAATCACATTTTCTGTATGTTTCTACTTATGAATCTTCTTCCCCCACACTCCCTACTACAAAGATACAGTTATTTCCGCTAGGCAAGGATTTGGGGCAAAGGCAGTGTTGATCATCTCTCTGAAATCTCTCCCTTCACAAGGAGAGTCCATCATGCAGTTGAATAGCTTTGAGTGATTAATGTTTGGTTGCAAAACCTGAAAGAATGCAAAGTTGAAATGTATTTGAATACACGTATATTGAATGCATTAAGAATGCAAAGTATATTGAAATCAAAAGGTGTTTTCGGTGGTAAGGCTAAAGAGCAGATGCTGGGTTTCAAGCTGGCTTCCAGAAATACCTTAGTCAGCTTAGAAGGATACTTTTTTAAAAAATTCACCCAAAGTAAAAAACTGGCAATCTTAATCTAGGGGAAAAGGTTTTACTTGCCATGGCCATTTTTTCTTTGAAGTTTGCTTTCCCCAAAAAATTCAAGTTGTTATAGAGATACAAAAATCGGCCTTATTCAAACTTCTTAGAAAGAAATCTGGTGAATTATTTTTCTGGAACCTGCTTGCTGGCCTGAGACTTGGGAGTTGGCAAATGTAACCTAAGGGCTCAGTGGCTAAGATGCTGAGCTTGCCAATCAGAAAGGTTGGCGGTTCGAATCCCTAGGGCCGTGTAATGGAGCGACCTCCCGTTACTTGTCCCAGCTTCTGCCAACCTAGCAGTTTGAAAGCATGCAAAAAATGCAAGTAGAAAAATAGGAACCACCTTTGGTGGGAAGGTAACAGAGGCCACATAACCACGGAGACATGGTTCTTATTTTTTTTACTTGCATTTTTTACGTGCTTTCGAATTGCTAGCTTGGCAGAAGCTGGGATAAGTAATGGGAGTTCATCTCATTACACAGCACTAGGGATTCGAACTGCTGACCTTCTGGTCAACAAGCTCAGCGTGTTAGCCACTGAGCTACCACGTCTCTTAGAGACCACCTAGGACACCACATATCTAGGAAGTGTTCCAGTGGTGGGATTCAGTCAGTTCGCACCACTTTGGGAGAACCGGTTGTTAACTTTCTGAGCAGTTTAGCAAACTGGTTGTTGGAAGAAATAATTAGGGCAGAGAACCGGTTGTTAACTTTCTGAGCAGTTTAGCAAACTGGTTGTTGGAAGAAATAATTAGGGCAGAGAACCGGTTGTTAACTTTCTGAGCAGTTTAGC